TAATAGCTATGGCCTCCAACCTACTAGCGATGGCCTCCTACCTACCATGGCCTCCAGCCTACTAGCGATCATGAGCATCTGCCGTATCCACGTTGCCTCCTCATCTGCAGTCTGGCAGTTGGCATCATCGCAATACTTCATGATATCCTGAAGTGTTTAGCATCGCTACTAGGAGCAAAGACACTACTAGGGGCTCCTGGCCTTACTACCAGGAGCAAGGAAGCTACTAGGGGCATCGCTTCAGATATCTGCAAAAGACATTGACAGCGGTATCAAGCCGTGATCTGACTGAACAAGGTTCATGGTGGGCTTCAATGAGGGGAGGGGTAGATCTGCCATCTGTCCTCGTGCAGCAAAGCATGTTCGGCAACGACTTCGGGATCCGCAGGGACACATTGCAAGCACGACCAGGGGCACCTGAGCGCCATCGCTACGTCGCTGCGTAGTTTGCTTCAATGTTTTTTCCCTCCCCAAATAGTCCAATATAGTCACAAGGACCTGATGATAGGCTTAGCAAATTCGTCGCAAACATCTTGCAACGACCTCCAAATCCTGGGCTCTGGCATCCCAGCAACCAGCTCATGCATGCAGCTGGCACCAGGGATTTCTGCACCTCGGGCGTTGCAAAACTCCCAGCTCCACACGATGCCACCCAAAACTGCCAGAGCTACTTTTCAAGTACCAAAAAAGATCGTACTGTTACTAGTAGCGATGCCTTTGTTACTAGTAGCTTCTAGCTCTAGTAGTAATGCCCTTGTTACTAGTAGCGATGCCCTTGTTACTAGTAGCATTTGTCGCTTTCCCTTTGAATTCGCTTCCAATCCTGAGACCACCACAACTGTGATAGTCTTTCTCCAGAAGTAGCCCAGCACACAATGCATAATGGCACGATTCAATATGACAATCTTCCCATACGACCTTCTTACATTCTAAACCATTTGTACGTGTCATGCCAAGCATACAACCGAAATTAAAACAGAACTAAAAGCATAGTCCAAAGAAATAGACCCCGACGCTTTTGATTCAGCATGCCATAAGCTCTGATGTTGCATGCTCACTGCGATGTCAAGCTTGTTTGAAAAACAGTAAAGGTCCGAAAAATAGAATTAGCCCAGCTGGAGACCCCAATAGCAAGATACAAACCGGGACAAAAAGAAAAATCTGGAAACAGCTGCTGTTCAACACATCGACCATCTCTTCCTTGGACACCATCATCACATAACCGGGACACCATCACAAAATGACCAGGGCACCATCAAAACATGACCGAGACACCGTCACAACATGACCGGGACACCGTCACAACATGACCCGGACACCGCCAAAACATGACCAGGACACCATCAAAACATGACTGGGTCACAATCAAAACATGACCGGGACACCAGCATCACATGACCCGGACGCCATCAAAACATGACCGGGACACCATCCGCCCACCAGCTCTGACGGTGACCCGACGGCGCCCGTCCGCCTATTAGTTTTGCAAGACCCCATAGCATGGCTATTGGGGAAAAAGAAGTGAAAAGGAATGTAGGTTCCTTGAAGAACTTGATCTGGTTTGCTTATGCTGCTACTCTGCTAAACAGTACATACTACCTAGTAGCTTTACTGCTAGCAGTATCCTGATGTCTAGTTCTATTTCCTCCGTCTCCTCACACGGTTCGCTCAGCCCAGAGCGTCAAGTTCCGCGAGGCTTCAGGATGGTCGGTACCTCAGATCTGGTTGGGCTTGAGCCACGCAAAAACGTCGTGAACTTTGGGTTTGCAATGTCGCATATACTTACACAGGTCGGCCCAATAACTGGAAGTGGAATTCCGTGGTAGCTTACTAATATATATGCCCCAAACCTAACACGTCCCGTAACAATTGAGGGGCTGAGGAGTTGTCCATCCTTTCATCATCTCCTTGCAGCCCATGTGGCAACTTCCATCATAGCGCATCCCTCGACCCTGCAAGAAGAGCTCTGCAAGTGCCTCATCTGATCAACACAAAGCAGCTCAAGGGGATCACAGGGTTCGTGTGTCTTCCATACTTTGACTTGTGCCCTACCAAGAGACTCTGAGCTTCTTGCTCCTAGTAGTACGGCCAGGAGCTACTAGTAGCGTCCTTGCCCCCTAGTAGCGATGCCCTTTGTTACTAGTAGCTTCTTGCTCGTAGCGATGCCAGGAGCGCCTAGTAGCGAACATTGCTCCTGGTAAGCATTTAGATTCTGTTGTTTCTTGTTACTTTCAAAATCGCTCTACGCCTTCGATGCACATGGATCCTCCGGGCCCTTGCCGCTAGTCTGCTTAGGACTCCTTACCATCAAATCCTAAAGCCTCACGAGCTCCGAGCTCGGGTTGAACTTCGGGGTCGGATCTGTGCAGGGCATCCATACCTGAAGAAACTGCACACGTCCAAACCAGCAAGGACGCTACTAGGGGCTCCTGGCCTTACTACTAGTAACAAGGGCCTTACTACTAGGAGCAAGGACGCTACTAGTAACAAAGGGCATCGCTACTAGGAGCAACGCTAGTAGGTTGGAGGCCATCGCTACTAGGGAGGCCATTGCTGCTTGTAACACGAACACGATGTCTGGCAGCTTCTCGGCACGCTTGACGAACGTAGAAACTTTGGTGGTTCAATGTCAAGGGTGGCGCTCACGCGCCCACTCCGGTTTCATGTGTTTGTTCAGCTTCCTGGTCTGTTTCGTTGCAGTTACCCTTCGACTGAAATTCACATGGAATCATGCAACAAAAAAGAACGCATCCTTCTGCCACGACCAGCAAAACTGTCAAGGTCATGAGTGTTAAAAGAAAAGCAAACGCAATATGGACTCCAAAATGTTCATTCAGCTCAAGCCCGTATTGAACAGTTTATAAAACGTCCTATGCAGATCTGGTAGCGGGGCCAAATGGCAACCAAAGCGAACTTGGTACACATTGTAGTTTGCAGAGTGCGGACAAACCAATGACACCATCACACGGTGATGCACCAACGGTTTTCCTTCGAATCTTCTTGACCAATTCTCCTGACGCTAGTGTTGATGAAGAGGAAGATAGGGTCAGGGCAGCATGGCAAGCGCTACGCCACCATGTGTGATGGGCTCCTTCTAGGAAACGAGATGCTTCACATGTTAAGTCCGGAGGATCTCCGGTCCGGAGGTGGCGTGATGATTTTTGCGCAGCTGATGATCGAGGCAAAAGACAAGCACCAAAAGACATGCTGTTACGCAAAAGGCTTGGCCTGCCAGCAAATACGCAAATACCTTTTGTGATGCCCACCGTTTTGCTTCAAAATGCCCTTCCACCTCATGCAAACAAAGAATCTTTCCTGGATTGACCCATCGAGATAGAACAGCAAAATGGTGATGCAAATGTCACTTTACCCAACTGAGGTCCGGCGTCTAATCAGTCTAATCGCTGGGCATGTGGCCGATGAATCCACAGCAACTACCAGTGCGGCTTTGGGCAAAATTTGGACTTGGTACATGTTTGCATGGCGGGCAGATAGCTCCAATCTGCTCCTGCATGGAACACCAGTACTGCATCCATTGAGGCCATAGAAATGGCCTCCAACCTAGTAGCAATGGTGCCAGACAAGTTTAAAAGGCCGTGAGCAAAAGCTGGGTGCTGGCAAGGCACGTCAAGCAGTTGAAAGCCATATCTTCTTCGGATGCTGCAGGATTGCGTCGTTCTTCTTTTGGTGTCTTGATTGCACTGACGGAGTTGCAACCAAAATGAACTTGGTACACCTCTCAATTTGACCTTCGCACGGTGATACACACCTCCGATCCCTTTGATCCAACCCGGCAACAGTCACCGATGGATCTTAAGTGAATGGTTGTTCACGCGATGCCCCTATTCTGACATGTTGGACAAGGGTTCTGGGGGCAACTGTCGGTGCATGCTAAGTTTCACCTAGAGAAAGCATCACTGCCACTGCCGTCTTGCGTTTCAAAGGCTTCATGGCTTCGCGGCGATCCCACCTTCCCATCTCGCTTGGGTTCCCCGCAAGTCACCTAAAGCTTCCACGTCCAGCTCTGAGAGGCCCAGGCGTTGTCCCAGAAACCGGGCCTCAATCGTTCGAGATGGAAGGCATTGGAGTTTCCGTCGTTTGACCAACAGCGTTTGGGCAACTGACCAGAAATGGATTGCTCAGTGTTTCCAGGGAGTGGTTGCCATTGGTGAAGGCCTGGCCACAAGGCGCACAAAAATGGATTTCATGATGAGACTGTGGCATGGCTGATGCGTTCTGCCTCAACATCCTTTCAAGCAAAAGAGAAAAGAAAGGGTCTGAAGGTTCACAGGGAGAAAGGAAGGAACAACAATACAAAAAGAAAGGAGTCGAAGAACAAATGCTGCTGCTCAAGGCCATGCAGTACTAGCTCTACACACGCAAAACCAGCATAAGAAATGACAAAAAGCGTCGATTTGCGGCCTACTACTACTACTACTCCTCCTCCTCGTCCTCCTCCTCCTTAGAATCTAGAATCTAGAATCTAGAACTAGAACTACTACTACTACTACTACTACTACTACTACTACTAGTACCAGGTGGTCCTCGTACTAATAGTACTAGTACTAGTATCAGTGCCTAGCACTACCACGACGACAATGACGACGACTACCACTACCACTACCACTACCACGACCACTACTACTGCTAACTAACAATACGACTACGACGACGACCACGACGATGACGACACTAATAACAGTTCTACTACTTGCTGGTCCTCCCCTTGCTCCACTCTCACTGCAAGTACTACCACCACCATTACAACCACTACTCTTACTGCCAATACTCCTACACTCCTACTGCTACTGCTCCCACTACCACGACCAGAACGGTTCCTCACTGAAGGGCTTGGTTCTCGAATTCAAAGCATTGCACGATGTCCAAAAAGCCGAAGATTGCCTCCGCAGGGTACATGTTGATGCTCAAGTAGTCAAAAGGGTCATTCTCGTAAGCCTCCACGGCCGGAGATTGCCTCAAAGCACAAGGTAGCGTTGCCTGATTCCGATACAATTCAGGGCACGCATGAGACTGATGCACTAACCTCCTCAAATAAACCACAACCTTGCCTATCACAAGTCCGCTGATGCAAATCTATTTCAACCCTGTGTACAACCACGTAACTCTGTATAGATCTGTATAGCGTCGCATTCTACAAAAGGACTTCCAAATGCCGATACCTCCTTTTGAAGAACTTCTCCATCCAGGGCTCGCGGAGATCTTCCAATCGAACTTTCAAGTACCTCAATTCATGCGTTGGCCTGCGTTGCCTCTGCGTTGCCTGTCATGTCGAGTCGGAAGGTCCGATGCCCTTTGTTCCTAGTAGCGTCCCTTGCTCCTAGTAGCGAGGCCAGGAGCCCCTAGTAGCGTCCTTGTTACTAGTAAGGCACCTGTTACTAGTAGCGTGGCACTTGTTTCTACTAGCTGCCTAGCTTCTTGTTACTACTAGTAAGGCACTTGTTACTAGAAGCGATGCACTTGTTTCTAGTAGCGAACATTGCTACGTCCGTAGCGATGCCCTTCTTACTAGATACCTCGCATCACCTGAATGTAGCAAGAGCCCTCTTCCGCGCACTTGTCTCGATCTACTCGGTTGAGCTCCTTTCGAATGCCAAGGATTTTCAAGAGCTGGTGGACCACCATGCCCTTCATCTCACAGCCTTACAACGCAGATTGGATCTCCAGCACAAAAGGATCTTTAAAAAAATAGAAGCTGACAAATAAGAAGATTATGTGTTCGTTCCAACATTCTCACATTTGGCACCACCATAGGCTTGCGAAAGACAAGACCTTCTAATGCAAACGACACACCAAACGCGCGAACACCTTTCCCAGAAACGCTTCAGATGTGGCCTCGGCCAAGGTTGAGGAGTGTGCCAGAAGTCTTGCCCTCTGCATCCTCATGAGAACAGCTTGAAGGCGCCAATAACAAGGTGCGTTGAAACAAGAATCCATACACAAGCCATTGTGCATCTCTCATGCCGTTCTGTGCTCTGACGACCCTATCTTACCTGGCCTTCTGGTATGCGGACCAACATCCACTGTTTTCATCTCTGATCTGGCGGAAGGTCCAAGGTGAGACCGATCAAGCCAAGACAAAGCTGATTTGCTTGACCATCTCCATGCTGTTTCCACGCCTCCACAGCGGGAACCACACAGCCGCCAGCAGGCTTGGCTTTCACCCCGACAAGCTTGAGGCAAGGGACCTCGAGCAATTGTTGAGATTGCCTAAAGCCTAAAGCTGTTGCTAGTGTCGAGAACATAGTAAGGTGTTCAAGCAAATGGAAGAAAGGTCTAAAACAAGAACGAAAAAGAAATGCAAAAACATCTCAAGAGACAACCTGTTTCAAAAGCATTCCTGCAAGGAGTAGTTTAGTCCATTACGTATGGCAACATAGTAGCAAAGGGTCTCGGAACATTTAAGAGTAAAAATATAGGTTAATGTTGTTGAATCAATCTTTGGATGGGAAGATCATGGAACCATCAGGGACACGTTCTTCAAAATGCCAAGCTTTTCACACAAGATCCTCCATTCAATTCGATGGCATTTGCACATCCAAACTTCAATGAAACTGACTTGGACTTCGCAAACATGCCTAACAAATTCAACTAGTACTCTGTAGCAGGTCATCCAAAACATTCAGGCCTGCTCTTCAATGTGTATCTTTGCAGCCGTCACAGCTCTTTTGACCTTGGAGTGAAAGCGATTGTCAAACCAACGACAGCAAGTTAAACCGGCCAAGTGGCTCAGTACAGAACAAATCAACTTCTTCTCTGAGGAAGGCACAGCTGGAGCAGTGCCAACTCGGAAGCAGTATCGAAGTTCGTGCAGTTCGACCTTTAAGCGCGTTGGAAATCACCAGCAACGTTGATGAAATCTAATTCCAATGCTTAGATTCTTAGGCTTGGACGGTACCCTCGATCTATTTTCTGATGTTGGATCCCGGCTCGAACAAAACTTGGAGTGACAACATCTTGTCGCCGAAACTTGGAGGTTGGGCAGATTGAGCTTCATAAATTACAAGCAGTAACAAGTGCATCGCTTCTAGTAACAAGTGCCTTACTAGTAGTAACAAAGAAGCTACTAGGAACAAATTGGAGTTAAATTCTATGAAGCAAACATTGTTCCTTGTACGGCCAGGAGCCCCTAGTAGCAAGAAAATGACAAGTCTGGTAAGACCGAAAAGAAGGGCGGGACATGTTCAAGGAAGCTGAAGCTTCCTGAGGCTTCCTTCTAAAAAAGGCCTAGTAGCTTGTGAGCTACCAAGCGTGTTAGCTTAAATAGTTTCTTCCAAGTAGCTTCTTGTTGCCTACCCTGAAAAAAATAGTTCTCGCTATGTAGCAGTTGCACTTCTTAGAAGTTCCCACTTTACAGCAGTGCTTTTGTTCGGATCCACTTGCCACTTCTCAGCACGCCACCTTGGGGTCCTCCGACGGAAGCTCTACGGTGGGCTCCTGAGCAAACGAAGCAGGAGACAAAAGCAACTGCAAAAAGACACCGCTTCATATCCTCACTCAAGTGCTCCTGAACCTCAAGTGCTCCAAGGATTCCAAACACCAGAAGGTCATCGCTAGTAGGTTGGAGGTTAGGTTAGAGACCGTGGCTAGTAGTTACCTTTGGAAATGTCCAAACACAGAAGTTTGGCTCCTGGAAGGCCTGCGTTTCGATATCTCCAAAGAAGTTATGCTCCTCAAGTTGAAAGAAATCAATGGGAGAATTGAAAGGTGCCAAAACAGACTCTTAACGACTCCTAAATACCCAAACGGCCTCTAAGACGTACACTTCGGACCAAAGACTAAATGCTTTGCGTGCGCAAAAAGTGATTGAAGGCATTGCATGTTTCTCGAAGTTGAAGACCATGACTGCGGCCCAAACCAAAACCAACAAACTTAGTAGCAAGGACGCTATTAGGTAAATGCCATCGCAAGTAGGTTGGAGGCCATCGCTACTAGCAACAAGCTAGGAACAAAGGGCACTGCTACTTGGAAATAAGTAGCGGTGGCCTACCGGGAGCTTTCGACTTCCCAGTCCCAGCCAGTCCCCAGTCGTCCAAACCCAGAGCACCTCTAGGTTTTTGAAGGGCGTCAGACCTCTCAAGTGGGGAGGGAAAGGAAAATGGAAAGGACCTCGGAGAGAATAGTCAGAATAGAAGCCTGAAAAAACAATATAAACATGATAGAAACAATGCCGCTAGAAGCTACTAGGCTGGAGGCCATCGCTAGTAGGTTGGAGACCCTTACTACTAGGTAGCTAGAAGCTACTAGTAGCAAGGGCATTACTACTATATAAATGTAAAACAATGCCTACTAGAAACAAGAAGCTACTGGTAGCTCCTGGCACCACTACTAGGAAGAAGAAGCTACTAGTAACAAGGTGCATCGCTACTAGAGCCGCGAACGAAGGGATGGCTTTGAAGAACTCAACGTCACACTGGTGTTTCCGCGAAGTCTGGTGTCTCGTCTCTCGGGCGCCCCAACCCGGGAAGCACGAGTGAAAGAATTGGCTCTGATCCGTGGCAGTCCAAACATTGCCCGTCTGCGGGATAAGAACAGAAGAAATGCAGAATTGTGCCAAAAAGACTTGAGAAAACTTGCACTTTTGCAAAAGCAAAAGCCGCCTTCAGGGCACTTTTGAGCGTCAAATTTGCAAAAGCCGCCATGATGAGTTCCAAGGACTGCCGAAGACAACTTCGCATCACTCGAGGCAGCTTAATGACGACAATGAAACACAAAGTCGAACAGTCATAAGTTATATTATATTGATCTTACACTTTGTTGACAGAATCTTACACAAGAGTCTTGAAAGGTAAGGAATTGAAATGACTCAACTCCGAAGAAAAGCCTCGTCGGTGGCGTTTCCACCTTCTAAGGCTGCAAAGGCATCATTCACAGCCTTGGAATAAGTTTGTCCATCTTCTTGACCCTCTCGACCCAACATCAAGTGAGTGCAGAAACTGGATGAATGTAACATCACTGTCATGAAACAAGGACAGTTACAGGTGTCCACGGAAAGCCTTCGAAAAGGTATTTGTTTTATCTTGTTTCCCAGTAGTCACCCTTCTCTTGACCATCTGCACACATAGCTATCTGGGCCGAGCATTGAAAAAGGAAGGATCCAAGTTGTCAGTTCTTCCCGCTTGGCACCTGACCGGCATGTGGCTGTGGCCTAAGAATCCTACGGTGCCGAGTACGGAATGATCATGCGGATTTTCTGGTCCAAGAGGTCAGTAATGGTTCAGTGGAACACTGCTTCAAAGCCAAAGGAATTCTTGTCACAATAAATTCAATAAGAAGAAGTTGGCCAACAGTGAAAAAATGAAGGCTACATTTAAAAGAAAAACAGGCAGGCAGGCAGGCAGGCAGGCAGGCAAGCAAGCAAACAAACAAACAAAGAAACAAAAAATGTTGTTATAAAAATTGTCTTAAGAAAGAAACAAAAAAATCCACTTGACAAATTGTGCGCCCTGGTTGATGACAAGATTGGCGTCCCAAAGCTCCCTGCCCCCAGTCCTTCGGTGTTCAGCTGATTTGCATAAGACTGGAGGAGAGCGCGGCCCTTGAACCGACAGACATCTAAAAATCACATCTGAAAAAAGAACCTTGCATCGAAAAATATAATCTATAGTGAAAGGAACAGGAAAAACAAGAACCGACTTTTCAACATGATAATATACGTGCGTTAAGGTGTCTTCTTCTTGTTTTGCGAAATAAACAACTTTGATGTGACTCGTGAGGCAGCCTTCTTCAAGATCTTCTTGCATTCTGGGACCTTGCTTAGAACATTCTCTATGATCACACATCACGCGTTGCGCAATCTTGTGTAAAAAACACAAGTCGCTTCGTGGACAATTGGTGAAAAGAGGCAAATGTCATTGAGTGCGTTAACGAGACTCTTTCGGCACCTGCTTGCAAAACAAAACTCACCCTCCCCAAAGCGTCAAAAGTGCTTTGTCAGGTTCACGACATAAGGCCCTGGCCCCAAACCCCAAGCGCGCTGTCAGAGTCACATGGCCTGGTCAAGAGAAATCTGGCGAACTGTCTCTTTGCTTTAGTGCTCCCATTCTTCTCCTTCGCTGCTGTTTCCATCCTGCTGAAGGAAAGTGAGTTTGTTATTCAGCCGCTTGATCATGCTTTGAGTTGTGCAAGGTGTTGTCAATTGGTTGGTCTCACACCCAACTGGGGTCGTCAAAAGGTGTCCAAAGAAGGAAATTACTTGACTTCAAATGATCCCCACCCTGGGGGTGATTTGGAAGAAGGCAGGTGATCAGCACAGTTGGGAAGACTTTGCCTTTTTTCTCTAAACACATGGAGGATGCCGCTTTCCTTGTGCGAGTATGTCGATAGCTTGGCGTGGCCCTGGGAGCTTCACGACGAAACACTTCTTCATGGGTTCCGGCTCGACATGCGCTTCCGCCGGCTTTGGGCATCTGGCTGATGATGGCCCTCAGGAGGTAACCTCTTGGGTAAACCCACCTTCGGGAGGTTTGCGCAGTATTCTTCTCGCCACCGTCCATGCGACATCGACTCAACACAGCTTGGGTGAGAACCATTGGCGTTCTATGGCTCTCCTGCCCAAAGGGTTTTAGAAGTGCTGCAGCGCGACCGCTGAAAGAAATCCACCCATTTATACCGACGGACTGGAAGATAGAATGCCTCTTTTTTCAAGATTTTTCCATAGGAAGATAGAATGCCGTCCCCAAATGTTTTTTAGCCAACAGAAATGGACAGTTAGAATGCTGGGGTCTGGCCAGTTAGAATGCTGATCCAGGGTGTGCATGTTGAAAAATCTCGAAACTGCAAGGAAACACCAGGATTTCTTCGAAGATAGAACGCCGCCAAAGTAGCAAAAAAGCACTTTGAACGCCACAGCTTTTACAGCATAGACAAACAAAAGGAAAGGACAAAGAAGATGAAAAAGGAACAGGAAACAATTGGTAAAGAACAAGACGTGGAAGCAGAAAGGAAACAAAAACACAAGAGAGGAAGCAGAAGAGGAAAGGGAAAGGAACAGGACACGGAAAAAGATAAAGGCACGCAGCGCAAGGAATAGGAAAGGAAAGGCACAGAAAATGAGAGGACAAGGAAGAAGAACAAGGAAAAGGAAACAATGGCTAAGACCGGGACATGGCAGCAGAAAACAGAAGGAAGGAGAAAGGAACCAGACAAGGAAAAGAGGACAGGACACAGAATAAAGTGGAAAGGACAAATGACAATGAGACAGGAAAAGAAAAGATGCAACACGAAAAGAAAATAAAGAGGAATAGGAAAGGCAAAATGCGCAACAATGAAAAGGATCGGATGCTCTTAGAAGGAACAGGAAGCAAATAAAGGCAAAAGAAAGGAAAGAGGCAAGAGGAATGGAAAAAGAAAGAGGGAAGGCACATGGAACATTGAAAAGGATAGAATGTCCAATTGTCATGCAATTGTTTCTCCTCCCTCCCTTCCTGGGATCAAGACTGGCATTCTAACTGTCAGCCTGCGAGTGTGTTCGTCCATGCTAGATTTGCAAACAGCATATGTGCCCAGCCTTTGCATGCTGCAAACTGCAAACCTCCAGAATAGACAAACAAAAGTGAAGGACAAGAAAGAGGATCAAAGAACATGAAGACATGGTAGAAAAATGCAAAAAAGGAGAAAGGAAACAGAAAAAGGAGAAAAGGAAAGAACACAGGAAAAAGGGAAGGACGAGAAAAGGGAACAGTTGAACAGGAGACGAACAAAGAATAGGAACGGAAAAGAACAATGAAACAGGAAAAAGGCAAGAGGCGAAAGGAAAGGACAAGGAAGAGGAAGAGGAAAGGTAAATGTAACAATGAAAATAGTAATATGCTTCATTGCCCTGCCATGTATGGGATCAAGACCAACATTCTAACTGTCAGTCTGTGAGTTAGAGGGTGTACGCATGCATAGATTTGGAAACAGCAAATGTGCCCAGCTTTTGCGATGCAAAACCTACAGGATAGACAAACCAAAGGAAAGGACAAGGAAGAGGAAACAGGAACAGGAACAGGAACAAAGGTAGAAAAAGGTAAAAGGAAAGCACAAGGACGAGGAACAAGGAAAAAGGCAAAATTGCTAAGAATGGAACGTGGCAGCAGAAAGGAGAAGGACAGTTGAACAGGAAACAAACAGAGGAAAGGCACATGGAAAAATGAAAAGGATAGAATGTCTAATGTTCCTGTCATTGTTTCTCCTCCCCCCCTTCCTTGTTGCAATTTTTTGGATCAAGACAGGCATTCTAGCTGTCAGTCTGTGAGTGTGTGTATGCATGCAGACAACTGAAAACCTACAGAGTAGACAAGCAAAAGGACAGGACAAGGAGGAGGAAAAGGGAAGAGGAAACAATTGCAGAAAAAGCACATGGAAAGCACAAGGAAGAGGAACAGGAAAAGGACAAAATTGCTAAGAATGAGTGGGACATGGAAGCAGAAAGGAGGAGGAGGATGGAAGGAAACAGAACAGGTAAAAAGGAACGGACACAAAACAAAGGAGAAAGGAACAAAAAAAGGAACAGGAAAACAAACAACCACAAACATATGAAATGTCAAGAACAATGAGACAGGAAAAGGCAAGAGGCAAAAGGAAGGGAAAGGGGCAAGAGGAAAGGAACAGGGAAGAGGAAAGGCACATGGAACAATGAAAAGGATAGAATGTCCAAGTATCCTGCCATTGTTTCTCCTCCCCCTTCCTTGCTGCAATTTGTGGGAACAAGTCTGTGAGTGTATGTATATGCATGCATAGATTTGAAAACAACCTATGTGCCCAGCCGTTGCATGCTGCATACTGCAAACATACAGGATAGAGAAACAGAAGGACATGACAAGGAAAAAGGAACAGGAAACAATGGTAGAAAAAAGGCGAAAGGAAAGGATAAAGGAAGAGGGACAAAATTGCTGAGAACGGGACATGGTAGCAGAAAGGAGAAGGAATGGGAAAGGAAACAGTTCAGGAAACGAGGAAAGGAAACAGAAGAAAAGCGAAAGGCACAGAAAAGGGAACAGTTGAACAATAAACAAAAAAAGCAAGAGAATAGGCGGCTGGATCAGGGCAGGAAATGGCATTTACACGCATAAATCCAGTACAAAGGACGGTGTTCAACAAACTTTGATTCCCGGTATCACTGTTTTATCTGTTTTAGGACACATCAAAGAGCCAAGTTCAAAAACCCTGTAAAAATGCAGGTTTCAGTTAGAATGCCCCCAAAACGCCATCCCCTATGAAAAGTTCAACTTTTTTCCATCTCTGGCGGTGCAACATGGCATTCTAACTTCCGGTCCGTCGGTATACTCATGACAGACTTCAATGAGCTGTATGTTTCGTCGCCAGAGACACGTCTTGAAGCTTTTCAAGTGCATTTTGCATTGTCACGCTGACGCCCCATATCTGCCACCACCGAAGTCCAACTTCTGGCATTCTATCTGGCACATCTTCTGGCATTGGCATTCAAAGTGGCATATCTTATGGTGCGCAGGTCCGTGCGTGCCCAGACTGAGCTGGCACTCGCTGTGATATGATGACATGGCAAGAAGAAGGAAAGAAGAGGAAGGGAGCAGAGCATAGCAGAGCAGAGGAGAGGAGAGCAGAGGAGTAGCACCTTTGTTGAAATCTAAAGACCCGCACCTGGCAGGTGAGGAAAAAGGCAGAGAAAACATCTCAGTACAAAACGGTTAGAAGAAAGGAAGTCGAAAATCCAAACGTTGACCTTCAGCCGAAGAGTTGGGCAAGGAGTGAACCTGGATCTCGTTGAGTCCTCTCGCGATCTGAGAGCACCATGCAACCAGGTGCCAAAAAACCAGGCATAAAAGGTTTCAGTGAAGCAAAACAAAAACTTCGAAGAAACTCTCGGCAAAATATCAAAGGTTGGAAGCCATCGCTATTAGGTTCGAGGCCATCGCTATTAGGTTAGACAATGCGGTTCATGTCATGTTTGCACCGTGCAAGTTTTGTAAAGCTGTGACTGTTTGCGCCTCCAGAACTTACCTCCACATTGACGCCAATGCCTCACAGCAGTCAAGACCTAAATCCCCGACAAAGAAGTAGAGTGACCACATAACTGGAAGTACAGCTACCTAAAGCTTCCCTGTGAGTTATGTGAGTTATGGGATGCTAGGGATTGCTTGAAGTAGGAATGGCTTTGAAGTGCTCTAAAGGAGTCGTTCAACTTGAGATGTTGCAGTCTGCATCTGTGGAATTGAAGTACCTTCGACGAGGAGCATTCCCGTGAACCAGAGAGTCTTCAGTGGATGACCAGGGTGACAGTTCCAGATCGGATTGTCACGAGAGAAAAGGCTGCACAAGAGAAAGAGATGTTTGCTCTGCACAGAAGTGACTCTGACGTAGTTGGCCCCCATTTGTACAGTTGCGGTGGTCATTGTTGTTGGTCTTGCTCGTAACAAAAGTGGGACTCCGCCTTTTTGCGGCAGGCTGAAGCTTTGATGGATGCGAATTAGTGTTGCATTCTGTTTCTTTCACGGCTCACTGTTTCAAAATCGTTCCTGGTTGAATACAGAACACATTCTGATGGGTTTTTTGGGGGAGGTCATTGCTATTAGGTTGGAGGCCATCGCTTCTAGGGAGTAGGTTGGAGGCCATCGCTCTTAGGTTGGCTGCATGAAGCGCAACAAGTGCTACGATAGCTGCTCGCGGCCCAGGGACGTCCCTGTTCATGTCGAAGAAGCCGGTGGTTACCTTAGCTCACCGCCACGCTTTGCCCAAAGAGCCGGTGTCAAAGAACTAAAGACCAGGAAAAACAAAAAGGAAATTGAAGATTAAAAAGAGAAAAACATCTGCCAGTGCCGTTCCACATATTCAGGGGCTGACTACGCTCTACTTCGCCCCAGGCTGCCTCAGCTCAATCGGGTCAAACTCTCAAGTCTTCTGCCTTCCTCACCTCGCATGGCACGCTTCCTTTTTACCGAAAACCTTACACAAGCATTACCCACCAAAACTACAACAGAATGTAAGTGAAAGGAAGCTTCACTGCATAACCAAGCAAAACGGAGGTTTTACTCCGGGAAGACTTCAAAACAATCGAACCAATGCTCCGGTGAGCCCGCCTCAACAAGTACAGCGAAAGTGAAGACCTCACAGACTGTTGGCCCCAAACCATGCGAACCGTTTGAGATTTGTTGGGCCCAAACAGTAGTAGCCGAATAGCGATGTCCTCCAACCTAGAAGCTTCTTGCTCCTAGTAGCGATGCCAGGAGCCCCTAGTAGCGTCCTTGCTC